AGATATTTCAATTTCTTTCTGTAGGGAAGCAGTGCCACCAGAAGTATTACCCTCCTTTCTCCAGGTTCTGACATCCAACACCTCTCTCAGGGCGGGTTCCTTTGTGTGATCACTAAGACCTTCTTCCAAGTCTGGCCTATGCATGGGATGAGGAAGAGTGAATGAATCCATAGAAAACGATCGACGAATAGGTTGGAACCCTTGTTCCCTGACATCACTAGGCACTTGCAACTCAAAAGTTGGGATTTGATCGATCATGATCCGGTTTCCAGCTCCAAACTCCAACGAGTCCCCCTCTGATTCCACTTCCAAGGCGCCTTGACCAGTGTCCAATTGCTGGCCATCGTTTTGATGGCTATCCTCTAGAGCAGAGGGGACTGAATCTAGGGCGGAATCAGGGGAGGACAAAGCGGAGGAGAAGGAAGGTAGAGTACTCGCTCCAGGCTCGGAATCGATGGAGACGGAGGTTGGGAAGACGACGGGCGCACGGCAGAGGGGGCAATTGACGTGGGATCGGAGCCAAGTATCGACACAGGTAAGGTGGAAGGCATGGCCGCACTTGGGGAGGAGACGAACGAGCTCGCCGTCGCGGAGCTCGGAGAGGCAGACGGCACAGTCAGCGGGGGATTCCCCGAGGACGCCGTCGTCGGCCTTGTACGCCCACGCGGTGACGGCTCGGATGGTGGACTCATCGAGGCCGGTGGTCCTGATGTACCATACATGGTGGTCGATCTCGACGCCGCCGACGCCGTCCTCAGAGGCACCGAACTGTTCCTCGTCAGCGGCCGCCCTGCGGCGGCGGCAACGGCGAAGGAAGAAGAAGGTTACGAGGAGTAGGAAAGCAGCGGCGGCGAGGAGGGAGGCGGCGGCGATGGGGAGGGAGGGGAGCAGGGTGGAGTGACGGAAGCGGACGGTGGTGGAGGGTTCCTGAATGGGAGCAGGGGGTGGGGGCGACGGCGGGAAAGGAGGTTGGCAAAATTCCAGATTTCCGCACGAGGAAGAGGACGCGTTGGTTGCCGAGAAGAGGAAGCGATTTCGGCGCAACGCCATCGCCCTGCCCATCCACATCCAACGCAGGCGCAGCTAGAAGACGCGACGATGACGACGACGGCGAAGATATAGGACGCCGGGGAGTCGTAGTTACTTGACCTACCACTTTTGGGAGAGAGAAAGAGGGGTGAGAATTTGAGAGAGAGAAAAGAAGAAGAAGAGAGTCACGTCCACGAGAAGGTGGGGCAGCGGTTCGGTGGTCACACGGACCCTGAAGGGAGCCACCCATGGAACCCGCACGATAGCGAATGGTGAGCCGGGTAGGTTTGGGTTGTTGGGTTTCGGCGTGGGTTGGGAATCGCCTTCGACTTCGGTTCGCCCACCACAGTTGGTTGAGAAGCGGACGGGCAAGCAATAATCACAAATTAAATGGGGGGTGTGTGTGGGAGGGAGTAACAACGGATTTATGTTCACCGGAAGCGATGGCGACCCTACTCAACTACTTCTTGTTTTGGTATGTCGTTAAGTTAGTAAGTATAACTAATCTTCCAACAAATCTTGGCTATATATATATATATATATATAATCTTCCAACAAATCTTGGCTATATATATATATATATATATATATATATATATATATATATATATATATATATATATATAACTACAATCATTATCTCAAATTCATTATTGACTCATCCAAGATATCTTATTGAATTTTAGCCATAGAAGATTATTATAAAAATGATTCTAGCCATAAAGAAATTTTGTCATAATTTTTTGACGGTCCACTGATGTGTACCAACTTGACTAATGAAGAAATTTTATCAAAAAAATTTTGGGCATAATTTTTTAGATACTTTATCAGAAAAAATCTCTAGTATCATGTTGTCTTTATAATGGGCTTTTATTGATGGATACCTTTTTTTATTTCAATAATACCTTTGATTAGGTTATTTCAAATCATAGATCAATGAGTCATTTAATCCTGAATGTTATGATTTAAGTCAAGTTGATTCAAATCAGATCTGATCTGATCGCTATCAAATCTATAAATGAATGTAATACGTGTGTAACCAAGACATTTTTATCAATCCAATCTAAACTTCTATAGAATTACTAACACATGATTTTAATATATTTAATATCAAATTTTTCTTATTTTTTATAATTTTATGTTGAATAAATTTTTAAATATAATATTTTTAGGTTGAATCGATGATTAAATGTAACTCATTGAATTTTCACTGTATCTATCCAAACTTTTTTAAAATTACTAATGTGATATAATAATATGCTTAGTATTTTTTTATTTTTCTATGGATTTAGGATGATTAACTTTTAAAATAATTTTTTTTATTAAATCTACGATCAAGTGTAACTCTTTAAATTTTCATCAAACCTGTATAGACTCTTTGGAACTACTAAGGTAAAATAATAATATATTTTAGTATCATTTTAAAATATAAATTTAAGATAATTAATATTTAAAATAATATATTTTATTTGTTATATATACGATCTAAGTGTAATTTGAGTATACCGACCTTTTTAGGTAAACTACGATGAGACGAAGGAAGAAGAGAGGAGATGAGGGATAGAGCAATATAACGAGGAGGTAGAGGAGGAGAAAGCCAAGTGGGAGGCGATAAAGTGGGAGGAGTAGCAAAGGTGGAGTGAGAGGAGGAAGTCAAAGTGAAGGTGAAGAAGTTGAAAGTAATTATAAAAAAAACAAAATATACTATAAGATACAATTAAATCAAATTAAATAGTTAAGATTTAATTTAAATCAATATGATCCGATTCATCTAAAAATATTTGATTCAATTAAAAAAATTAATTCAAACCTAATCAAATATTATAATTATCTTTTTATGATTTTAAAGATATTTTGATCGAAGCTCTAAAAAAATCAAAGTAAAAAAATTAAATACTTGAACATTATATGATAAAAATTTATTATTAATTTTTTTGATAAATTATCTTAATCTTTTTTATTGGAGACGAGACATGCATTTTTTCAACTCAAACTATAGTTACACAATGACATGATTTGATTTAAAAGAACTAAATGATCATAATGACACGTGATAAACTGATTGGATTTAAAAGGGTTAGGACACATGGCATGACATGGTCATAATTGCATAAACCGATTCGATATCATTGAAGTGAGACATGTCATGTTTTTTATTTGAGAGAATCCTTTATGCTGAGACATACAAACGTCATGACATGGTTCATAATTGCATAAACCGAGTTGATTTCAAAGGGATGCCGAACGACTTGATTCCCGAAATGAATTGCACACACAGCAATCAACACTAGCCCACCGCAAAACAGCAAACAGTCGCCATTTATAATGGCATGAGGTACGTCAATCCCCAACATGCCGGATCCGATAGGGTCATGCACAGCTGATATGTCCAGGTTCAGACCAAATGAAATAGTGAAGTCTGAGCTGGGAGCGCAGTGGCCGCCGCTCCTTCGCCTCATCCTGCGCGCATTCCACACCCGCTCCTTGCAACTCGCCCTGTAGCCATTCCTGCTGCCACCACCACTACATTATGCAAGACCTGACATCGTCATCCGACCGCCACAGCTGGACTTCACTGAGGCCCCCCGCTGACACGACCCACGTGTCCCAGTCAGATTCCCCATCCAAACAACGACACGCGTCCCTCCAATGCCCAGAGCACGGGGTATAACGGTAAAACAAAGAGAAGTATCCACTACAAAGCAATGGTACAGCCCGGTCACATGTCTACCACCAGAGTCAAATAACAAAGCAAAAAATTACAAACCATAGCAATCATTATAATAATAGTACAACATCATGCGGGAAAAAAAAGAGATCGTCCGATCAACAATCGACGGCTGAGAGCGAGCCCAGCGGAAATGACGCCACCTAGAGCGCGAAGGTGGCGACCACGGCGCACACCACGGCGATCCAGCCGACGGTCGTGGAGGCGGCGACATTGCCCGACGGTGTCGAGGTGGGGGACGAGGTAGGGGGCGTGGAGATCGGAGAGGTCGGGGAGGAGGGGGATGGTGTGGCCGGTGGCGGCGCGGGAGGGGACGTGGCGGGAGCCTCCGAACGGGGGGTGGAAGCAGGAGGGGAAGCCGGGGGTGGGGCTGTGGGCGTCACGGCCGGCGGCGGAGGGACGGGAGCCACGGCCGGAGGGGTGACGGGGGCGACGGCGGGGGGAGTAGTCGGCGCTGGGGACGGAGGCTTTACGGGGGCGGGGCTGGGGCCCTGCGCCAAGGAGGTCACGGCGAGCAGCGCCAACGCGGCAGCGAGCACAGCGAAGCGAAGGGATGCGGCGGCCATGTCCACCGCCGGAGATCCCGCAGATCCGAGCCGAGATCGGGCAGCAAATACTTAGGAGAACTTAGCTAGGGTTTGCAGTGTGAAGAGGCGAAGAGGGGTCGCGAAGGGTTATATAGAGGGAGAGAGCGAGAGTGCGAGGTGCGGGAGGTAGGCCTATCAAACCCCGAGAACACGACGCCAGCCGTTGGATATAATTAGGTACGGCTCAGATCCTTCGATTCCTTTCATCTGCTACATCTATTGTTATTCGGTTGGTAACCGTCCGTTGAAGAAGGGACGGTGATCGATTCCATCAACGAGTTCGCCGTGTGCGGGAATAATAAAGCTCGGCGGCCATCGAAGCACTAGACGTCAGATGGTGATCAGAGGGCAGAAACTTCACTGGACTACCAACGTGGGCGCAATCATTGCAGGTGCGGGGCAAAGCGGAATAGCCGAGCATAATGTTGCGATTTTAATTTATTGGGACAACTGGGCATGACAGGTGGCGTTTGATATTTCTTTGCTGGTGGATGAAATTATTGAATTCATTTTTTATTATATCATATTTGTTTATTATTTATTTTGAAGGGAACAAATATTATTTTTTACGTTGTAACCAGCTGTCTTGAACCGTCACTCGTTCATCACGCATCAGACGGCCAGGAAGGGGTTTATCATAGGGGGAAAGTACGCGATCGATGGGGTCTTTGGTGACGCGGTGAGCATCAATCGTGTAGGCTCTGGAAGGAGTGGGTGCCGTCTCCACCCAGGAGCGAAGCCTCCGAGCAAATGCATTGGGGAGGAGGGCGAGGAGGCACGCGCTGTTTCCAGGTAAAGTTTCGCCATAAAGGTAGTGGCATCATGGAAGCCTCGTCGAATGGTGAAGGAATGATGGCCATGTCTTGTACATGTTGACTTGCAAGCCCCCAAATCCAGCTCTTTGTCACGGGCTGCTGGCGATTCCAGTTGCTTACATCGGCAGGGCCGTATCAGGTACGACATTCCGATTCCAGATTGACGCGTTGGGTGGCACTGCAATTACGGTCTTGATCGTCGAAGTCCGTGATGTCGTCGGTTGATACAGTCGAGTGTTCGTCAAATTGTCTGGGTGGGAATTGCGATGCGATCGTAAATTGAATAGAGAAAGTCCATGTCGTCGTTGGTTGACTGTAATGTGTTTGTCAAATTGCCTTGGGGGGGAGGAGATTTTTAACTTGCAGTCTCTAACTTGCTGACGAACTTCAGGAAATCCTTGATCGACCTCGTCTCCAGTAGTTTTCATGGACAAGTAGTAGTCGTTCTGTTTACCATACATGAGAGTATTTTCCATTTAGGCTACTAGTTGTTGCCTTGACAGTCGTCGAAGATGGTTCGGATCACATCATGTGATTGCGACCGACCACGAGTTGGCATTACGTATTCTTTTTTAATCCTGTCTTGTTTAATCACGATGAATCTCTTAGAAGATGGTTAGAGCGTGGTGGTGACACTTGAAGTTTTCTCTTTTCTGGTATTTTAGGCCTAAAATATGACCAACAGGATTTATCTGGTTTTATTGAAGTCTCGAGTGAAATGGTCAAGTCTCGGTTGGATAATACAAGGAAACTATACACCAAGTTAGATGGATGGAATTAGTGTTTCTAATTCAATGAGGCCTCATGATGAAGCAGTATAGTGGTGTATAAATATAGGGCCCTGATTGCTCTTTCTACTCATGAAAATCAATAGACTACTCCTCCTTGATCTCCCTTTGGTAAGGAGAAGAGAATGATGAGGTAGAAGTGCAGTGTACCACACAATCTCACATAGATTGAGAATTGTTCTGCTGTAGATCAGAGAAATGGCAAATACTCAGTGACTGCGACTGCTGACCGATACCCGTTTATTGTTTTCCACAATAAGCTTTGCATGAATACTAGCACAGGGTTCTTGGAATTAAAGTCCAGTAAAATTAAGCTTTTGGTTAATGAAAATCTGTGATGATGCTAATCAGGATAAGAACACGATTGGTTTGTTCTATAAAATCTGCTGTTACATTATGTACTTTGCAAAAAGGAAAAAGAATCCTCATCTTGACCATTTTAAGTTGCTTTGAACCAATATTTGTTCTTGTTGATTTTTCATGTAATGTGTACTAGTATGCTCTAGTAAACTTATACAGGAGGCATGCAAAGATCAAAAGAACACTGATACTAATAGATTATATGTTCATGAGCACAAAGATCATTGTATTAAGCAGGTATTAGAAAGTTAAGCTGCATTGATTTGACTTATAAATACATATGGATTCGACTAGTTTAGGAAGGTTCTGCAACACAGCTTGTTCTAACACGATCTAGTCTATATCTATCTGTTTAGTTATGTATTTTATGTTAATCCTTCCTTTTTTTTTCAATAACACATGTTAGTTTAGATTAATTTCATGCCCAATCCCACCCTAATTGTCCAATTTTCGGTGCAACGCCAGCACACGCATACCTTCCGCTTAGACATGTGCATCTTATGCATTTTGATATTTTAAATAAAATATCCCACTCTAATTTTTTTTTATCTTGAAAGTATGATATCATGTTTGATGCCACCATGTTCAATGCTAATTTTCCCCCTTAACCCACTTTTGGTGATTTTCAAATTATGAACCATGGTTACAATTTTCATCTTCTGTTTATGCCACTGTATTTTCATAGTAATGAATCCAATGTGCATGCAACCAATTATATAGATGTTAGAAATATCATTGTGGCAACAAAGGTATTCTCGTGGGGGTTATTTCTGTTCTATTTAGCTTAGCCAATGATATTGGAACTTCAACTGCAGATGAGCTGTAAGATCTTGAGGATACTCAACTGGTGGAACTGGGTGTCAAGAACTTTTACTGAGAAGTGGAAATAATACTCAAGGTTACTGAATATTCTGGAGGAAGATTTTCAAAGGATATGAATGGCTTAGTTAGGTAAAGGCAGTTTCTTATTTGTCATATCTTTGTATAATCTGCTCACCACTATGGATTTGGAAAGTCCATATGCCTGAAAGATGAACATTTTTTTGCTTGGCAACTCATCCGGACAAAGCTCCCAACTGATCAGAACCTGAACTGGAATAGTTTTAATAATTGTCGTTTCCATGATGATATTTGAATGATGGAAACCGCTTATCACTTGTTTCTTGGTTGCATTGTAGCTGAGTATTCGAACAGGATGAAATCATGGTCCTACTTATTCAAATCATCCCAGTAACACCGAAGGTCTTTGATCGGACTGGATGGAAAAATAGATCAATGAGGGCTTCTTAATGGGCTTGGGATTATCACAGATTACCTACCTACTGGTGCATTTGGTTGGAGCATAACAAAAGAAACAAACTCTTTTGTGGAAACTACAAAGACTGGAGTATTGTTCCTTAAGAAAGTAGCGCATAGGGTTTTGCTGATTCTAAGAGGAATGGATTGTTCTGTCAGGTCAGGAATAATCTTGTTTCAGCAACACCCCTTGATTCTTTCATTCTACTGGTTGTACTCTCTTCATCGTGAGACTTAAATATTCCCTGTTGTTATTATTATTTTGTATATTTTCTTAATGAACAATGTCATGATCATCTGATTTTTTGATCCAAGAAAAAAGTTAGAATCAAGAACATGCCCTTTTGCTTTCCAAGGGCTTATTTCACCCTGTTTCCTTTGCTGGATGACAATACAACTCACAAGGCCTCAAAATACAATGGTAGGCCTCAAAATACACCTCAAAATATCCTTTAGCAATATGTTTTCTTTCCTTCCTTTCTCTTTATGCTTTTATAAGTTCTGAAATGTTCAACAGAAACGGAAAGAACTAAGGATGTTTCTCTGTTTTCAGGCAATCATTCCATTGCATTTGAATCAGCTGAAACCGAAGCATCCATTAAGGTGGCTTTTTGCTTGCAAGAAACTCAGAAATGGATATATTACTCAGTCCAACTGTTAAGGCAACACAGCTACTTCTCCTGCTCAGGTGCTGCCAAACCTGTCCTAGTGCTTGTGCATTCCTATGATGTACTGACATCTGAGCTATCTCCTACTTTACTAGGTCTCTGCAGCCAGAAGTGACTGATTTATTTGGTGGTAGTCACGCGGAATCTCAATCAATCATCACCTTCTTATTGGCCAAGCTTTTCCCAGGTATTCAGTACACAAGCTTTTCCCTTTCTTTCTTTCTTGATGCACTACATTTAAACAACGAGACATATAAACAACTCTCCGTAGGTCAGCAGACATACCTCTCTTTCCACCTGCCAATCCAATCTTTTTCTTTTCCTGCATGTACGATTTTTTAGGAGCCTGTAAGATTGCACCCACTACCACCACCATTTCGTTCTTAGGCCCCTAAAAAAAGGGGTGGATTGGTGCACTGCATGTAGTACAAAGTAGGGCAAGGGTAGTGGCTGTTGGGAATCTGTGACAGTCCTTATTCTGCTTTTTTTTCTCAACTTTTCCAAACCTGGGATTCCTTTCCCAAGTTGAAGTCAGTGCAAGTTCGTTCATCTTTAAATTTATTGATATACAGATCATGAGACTAAGCTTACATAGTTTAGGTGGTTGCTTGCTGTAGTTTTTTGGCCATAAAATAGCTGAGCTGCGCATGGTTGCAACTCTGTTGTTTAGGCTTTTCTCAAGCTAAATCTCAGAACTAAAAGCTGAAAGATTTTAAGCAGAGTCGTCATGTAGCTTATAGAATTCTTTTCCATTTGGTTGATCCTATGTCTACGATCATCCTTTCTGCCAAGGCCATTTGACACCTACAGGATTAGACTACAGGGGATTGTGTTCCCTGTAGAGAGATAAAAATTTTGCTTTTCGTGCGATCATATGGGATTGGTTCAAAGAACAAGTTGCTAAGCCGCAAATGTAGACGTAGTTTCATCTCCTGCATGTCACGATCTCATCATGGGGGATATGGTCTCGAGAATATTATCTACCACGAGAATACTTGAGATGTTGAAAGACCTCACACTGAGCCGATCATCATTGGCCGAAGTGAGAAAAGACTGAGCACAAGAGACAAGAAAAATAGGTCACATAGCTCTAATCAGTAACACTATTTGATGTCCGACTCTATGCTCTCTCCAAAGAAAAAGTATGAAACCTACAAAAGCTAGACATGGCTGGTTCTGCCCTCTGAGCTGGTGGGATTGGTTGTGGGTGACGTGATGATATGAGTGGATTGGATGAACAAAAATGAGCTCTTTTTAGTGTTGTAGGTTGTGTCAGGAGTCATATTCTCTTGGAGTTTTGGGTTTAGGAGGTGGTTGGGCTCTTGTGACGTGAAGAAGGTGGCTAGGTTGATCAAACATTGCTGTCATCATGTTTTCTTCGAGGAGGCCTTCATACTTCCTTTGACAATCTTTGTGATGCAAAGCCTTAATGGACGATGATCTTGTTGCATTGGTGCTTAAACTATCACCTCTGTGCTACACATGCAAGCTAATCTTAATGTAGGATGTCGACATACACAATCTTATGATATTATACTGTAAACAAACCCTCATTCCACCTGGAAAAGAAAGAAGAGTAAAGAAGCTTGCCATGTATATTTTACCTCCATCATTTATCTTTATCTCCAAAAGAACATGAAGCTTTTTGTTTGTCTGTTTGGTTGCTATTGGAGTACACAGATTACTAGGCTTGACCAGGGAATTATGAGACCTCTTAACTCACTTCTTGGATTGATAAGATATTTTACCTTCAGTAGGACTGGGACAGGTTATCTGTTAGCTTCAATCCTCTGTGTCTGAGAGAGAGAGAGAGAGAGAGAGAGAGAGAGAGAGAGAGAGAGAGAGAGAGAAAATCTGCCATTATTTTCAATTTTGACTCGTGAATAGAGAAAGACGCCATAGGAAGGACACAAAATCTATTGAAATGGATTTCAGATGCAGAATTACTTGAGCTGCAGGATGAGCGTCGAGTGAATTTATTTCTTTGATGACTTTTGAAGAGACATGGCGACATGGGTTTGATTCTTCATATTTGCTGAATTAGGCACCGATGTCTCCTCCACAGGAAAATGACATGTTTGGCTTTTGGACCTATCACCCCAAAGCCACATTGATTTCTTCCTCCAAGTGTCATGTTCTGACTTTAATTCAGATTAAACATCATCAAAATCAATCTGATGAGTGTGTTCTTCTTCCACGTTGGTGCCATCATTTTTGCTGTTCTCCTTCCCCTTAACCAGGGTGTGCCAAACCCAACCCTACATAACTCTACACTGTCTCTCATTTAATGACTGCTTGACCTCCTGCTCTCTCTTTCTCTCTCTTCCAATTGCTGTTCATGCTTGGAGAGATCCAGGTAGAAAGCTTTGCATCTGGTGATGGACGCAGGAGAGAAGGAGGTCAAACGTGAGGACAATAATGAGGTAAAGATGGAGATCAAACAGCTCCTTTTGTCTTCCATCTTATTTTCAATTGTGTCAACATGACTCCACTTGTTGTCTCCCTTTCAGCTCATGAACAAGGGGAGCAGGCATCAGAAGCCAATGAAGAGGATCAGCAGCTCAGACTCCTTCAAAGGTATTAAGAAGTAGATTTAGGCTTTCACCTCTGATTTGCTGTTGGTGATTCATAGTGATTTGGGTTGTTCCAGTGGAAGGAAATGACAAGTCCGAGGAGAGAGTACGCCACTCGCTCCTCCTCGAGGGAACGGAGGAGATGGAGTGGGACGATGAGCTGTGCTCCAATGGCTCCTCGTCTCTCGGGCAGAAGAAGCGGCGGCTGAGTGTCGACCAGGTGAAGGCTCTGGAGAAGGACTTCGAGGTGATGAACAAGCTGGACCCGGAGAGGAAGGTGAGGCTGGCTCACGAGCTGGGCCTCCGGCCCCGGCAAATCGCCGTCTGGTTCCAGAACCGCCGCGCCCGGTGGAAGACCAAGCAGCTGGAGCGCGACTACGGCGCGCTCAAGGCCCGTCACGACGCGCTCAAGCTCGACGTCGACGCGCTCCGCGGCGACAAGGAGGCGCTCATGGACGAGGTAAGCCGCCACCGCAGAGCACCCTCCCGGTTTCGCTTTGGGACACTCCATGATCGTTGGCTCTGATCCAGATGAGAGCGCTGAAGGCCAAGCTAGCAGATCCCGCCACACCAAAGGTCGAGGAGGACGGCCGAGCTCTTGGCTTCCGGGATGGCACCTCCGACACGGATTCAAGTGCGGCGCTCAACGAGGAAGCCAGTCCCTACTCTGGAGCGTTGCTGGACCAGCACCACTCTGTTCTGGAAACCAAGTCCCATTGCTCCTCCATCTTCATGGAAGAAGATGGTTTCTTAAGGGGAGAGGAGCTGTGTGGTGCTCTGTTCTCGGAGGAGCAGGCACCCACCCTCCCTTGGTGCTGCACCGAGGGATGGGAATGAGCTAACAGAAGAAGAGGAGGCCACTGTAAATGGAGTCCTTGGTGGGAACTGTGCGTAAAGGGTAGTGTCAGAAGATAGTGAAAAGAAGAGACTCAAAGTCTCTTTTCTGTAAGCCAATGTTTAATATATGTCGAATAAAGAAGGCCAGGCAAGTAGAGAACTCTTGACAAACTTGGTAGAGAGCTGAGCATGGTAACCTTCTGTGTCTTGTGATTGCTATTGATATCTCAGGTGAGAAACTACTATTGAGCTTTATATATTTGCATTTGACAGATGCGCGTAAGAAGAACTATGTGAGTTGAGCACACGAGAAGAAACTATGACTTGTTAAGAAGATCTTATTAGCACTTGCTCATGTGGCAACGGGTGTTGGAAAGGCAAGATTGAGTGCTGTAATCCATCTCTGATTGATGTAGTACATGTAGTCGGTGGCAATGCAGCCTGACGTGCTGTACTACATTGCAATTAGAACATCTGAAACATGCTTAAGTGTCGGTACACATCAATGGTAGATAGAAAGCAGAGAGGAAGAGTGGGGTTGCTACGTGCAGATCTTCCACATCTTGATGGTGGAAAGAGAATGAAATTGCAGATCTTCCACGTTTTGTGATTGATTATGGATGAACATAAGCGGGGGATCATGATGCCAATAAACAAGTAATATTTTTTAATCTTTTGATCAGATTTATGTCCGATTTAATAGAATAACAGTGGTAATATCGATCCCAAACTGGAAAGTTAGATTAAGTCAATTACATCAACATAAGATTATGTTATATATATATATATATATATTTATATGGGTTTTTTTCTTACGTGGGTTGAATTTTTTTAAATCACGCGTCTCGAGCACATTTTGTCTTGTGCCTCCCGTAGTGATAGAGTTTTTCTCTAGGTCGAATTTTTCTAACTCAGGCACCTTAGACATATTTTATATTATACCTCCCATTTTGATAGGATTCTTTTATGCTTTTCAATTTGGTCTTTGTACATCGATCACTTTTGTGCTCTCCGAGGTTATCTTGATACTTCATTTGTCAAAGTATCCCTTTATCTATTATTGTCTTTTTGATTTGATCAAAAGAAACACTTATCTTCAATGTGAGAAGAGCGAGATTGATCTCCTCCCTATAAATTTCTCTTAGATATTAGGGTGAGGCTCATTGTCTCATTTGAGCCTTCGTGACCTCACTCAGGAGCATTCTCTTTTTAGCCTTGATTATCCCCTACAAGGCAAGTTAGTCCTTAGTCTTCTTCTTAAAGGTAAGTTGGATCTTGGGTGTCTCATCCTCTAGGTGTGTCTACTTTGCAGCATCTTAGCCTTCCAGTTAGCTATGGGCAAAAGAAGTTCCGACCTCCCCCTTATCGAGAGAGTCGGTTCTTATGAACTCGAAGATTCTTTAGAACTTAGAGTCCATGAAAATCATATATGATAGAGATTCAGTGATGAGTATGCAACTCTAGGACCATTTACGATTTAAGTATTCTATCCCGGTCGAGTTTGAACTACAGATCCCTTGGCTCGATCACCATCCATATGACTAAATATTTAGATTTATTTGTTTATATTCTAATGCTATAAAAGCATGACTTTGTTTTTCTTTTCACCCAATGTCTTACCTCTAATGATTATATCTTACACCCTTATAGTTGGTGCCCAACTCGTGACGCTACTTGATAGCATTCCTCGGAGAATGCTATCATGTCAGTTTCACATCAACTTGCAAACTCTTTGTTGTTTATTTTCGACCGTGCAAGGTAAAAAGTGACTACGACTTGGCTACTCGGGAGGGTTTCAGGTTTAGTGGTGCTCCTTCTAACAATAAGATTTAGAATAAGTGATTCTTCCTTATATGTATAGGTTGAGATTGAGGGTTTAGTCTTTCCTAGAATGCATATTGCATAGATAACACATTTCCCTTCTTGTTAGACAAGGAGTTAGATCAAGTGTTTTAGTTAAGAGATATACTCTTTACTTCTAAGGCTATTCGAAAGACGAACAATGGCTAAGTAATTGATATGGGTCTCAACTCAACTCCTCGAGGTATAATTTGAAAATCATTAGAGGTATGAAAAAGTAACTCATCACCTAGGGCATCGGCCTTGACTCGGTTCGATCGTGTTTTCACTACTGACCAACCAAGAAAGAAGAAAGTCATGAATAAGGTGTCTCGTTCTCAGTAGGATAAGGAACTTGACATAGAGCAGATTCCCAAAGAGAAACAAAATAAAGTGCCTCTTGCCTCCTAAGCATTGGCAATTTTAGAGAGCCACCAAAACTCAAGGTCTTCCTCAAGAAGAAGAGAGAGGCAAAGGTCAGTATTTGACCCGTGCAAGGGCAAATCCCTACCCTTCACAAAATTGAAGATAGTCAACCTACTAAACTTGATTCCAAATGTACTATTGCACCTAAGATGGGAGGGTATGTAAGAAGGGCATAAAATATAGGATAACATTGAAGTCGCAGAGCAATATTGCTGAGGTTTCTTATGCTCTTGTATAGTGAAGCAAATTTATTGTTTCGTCTTGAAGGTTTTGATTGACGTGGGCTACCATAATAAAGTACTGGTAAGTTAAGTCATGACTAGCCCTTTTACTATCTTATTACTAACCTCTTTGTTTTTTACTTGTAGCATCACCATTACATTATAGATCTTTTTTATTATGTATGGGATCCTGGCTTTGTCTTCAATAGCAATCTCTTATGATCAACAATCACCATGAGGAGGTGGAGAGATTGAGGAAGGAGATGGGAGACCCAATGCTTATTGTTGAGGTAGAAGCTTCAGGAGACATGTTGGCGAGCCAATTAAAGGAGGCTGAGCGATGCTCCGCTAATCATGCTGAATAGTTGGAAGTGATTTATAGCAACAATAGAAACATTGAGGATAAGTGTTGCAACTTACCCAAGAGTTGAGTTCTAGGATGACATATAACTCTAAGCTCATTGAGCAAGTTATAAAAGTTAATAAGCAAATTCAAGGTCTAAAGGAGGTGCTGAATGCTGAGAGAAGAATGATACCGATGTATCGAGAGGAGGCAATCATCAACTATAAGATCTTCATCAAGTTTATGAAGAGCTCGGAAATGTCAGGGTGTAGCTTCATAGTAGTACAAGTACTATGTTACCTTAGCTCATTTAAAGATAATGTGTTCTAAGACGGAGATTGAGGAAGATCCATTCATCGAGTACCCCAAAATTCAAAATATTTTGATGGCTATTAAAGTACCTTTTAACGATGATCCCATCTCACCACCTCGCCCTGATGCCTAGTTCATTGTCTTCTGATGTGTTGATCTTGCCTACCCTGACTCAGTAATTTTATTGTTTTCTTATCGTGTCATCGAACTTGTCCGTCAAACCAGTCTATATCTTAGTAAGTTGAGGTCTCATTTTGGATGTAGAGGCTCGACTAAGTTAGTGCAGTCTTTTTACATAATGAAACTTTCTTTCCTCAACATACAACACACATCTTAAATATATATATGAATATGACATGCATATTCATAGTCCGGAGAGACGAGATATAGTCGCTAGTGAACTTTATCAGCGAAGAAGTCATAAGGGGAATATTATTAGTTGACAACTTAAGTTTTGAAAAGCATCATAGAAGATATTAGCAGAGTCATGATTTAGGTTGAGGTACTCTATATTTATCTCTTTAAAACTTATATCCGAGTCATCTTCTATCCTCAAGCGCTTTTGAATGGTAGCTTGGACTTAAGCTGCTGGTCATAAGTGCCCTGTAAGCCAATCACGTAAGTGATGACACGAGTGACACAACGTACAATCTTTTTGCTCATTATTATTATTGATATTTTCTCACTTTATGATTATATTTTGAATATATTATGATATTCGTAGATCTGTGCAATAAGAATCAGATAATGATGAGATTATGATAATGGGACCGATTCGCCTTTAAATACAGACCCTAAATAAAACCGTTCATAGGTTACTTGAGAAGGACATCTAGATAACCGTACAGACTAGTGTACTGTATACCCGTTCATATGATGAATGTGGTTGGTCTTATAGCTACTCGTGTGGAAACACTAAATATATAATGCAGGGGCTCATTGGAGAATGAGTTTACTGATTAATCCGCTCATGGAATACTACATGGTTGATGATACCTTACCGTTAGATAATAATTTCATTATCCAATTATATATCTAGTCCTTAGACTTAAGATACTAAGGTTGTACTACATGAGTACTCCGCTCGTTGATACCGAACTTATAGGTCTGAATGTTCTAGATCTAGCACAACTAATTATTGAGAGTGGTAGCCAACCTTATGAGAGCAATTGAGTATCAATAGAGAATTATCCGCTCTCGGTGTCATGAGAGGTATATCTTATATGTTCTTGTTCAGGCAAATCCCTGGCTAAGATTATTTAGATTGAGAGAAAAAGAGTTTTCTAGGAGAATCCGATTAGAGCGAGACTCGAGTAGATTCCGTATGAGCCTGATAGCATCATGCCCAATATACAATCTCTAAGATATTAGATAGATAAGGGAATATAGATACATGATAACTGATGACAGACATGTCAAATAGATTGGATTCCCTAGTATCATTTAGGGAGTACGACGTAGTAGCCTAGTATGTTGATGAGTCGAGTAAATTATTATAAAGATGATAATTCACTAAGTTAGAAAGAGTTCTAACAAGTATGACTCACGGCTAGCTCGATATTAGGCCTAGAGGGTCACACATATATGGAAGTTGTTGCGACGAGTAGAGGTTCGGATATAAGATATCCGTTGGAACCACTATCTTATTGGATATCCACTAAGCTCCTAAATTATTTGATCTTGTGGATAAGAGCCAATGAGAGATTATTGGGTAGTGATCTACTAATCCAAGAGGTTTGAATAGTTGGATGAAGATTAAATTCCCAATATGGTATGATCAATTAAGGTTAAGTTAATAGAGACTTCTATAAATAAGAGGGAACCAAAGGGCATAGGCTAGACTTTTTTTGGTGGCCATTATCTATTCTTCTCTCTCCCTCTCATCCTCAGCCGACAGCCTCAGTTTGGGGTGTGTGGATAGCAAAAAGGGCCAGCCTCTTCTTGATCACGTGATGCGCATGAAGAGGAAGATCATGTAGTGATTTGAGGAGCGTCACATTTGTCGTGTGGATTAACGCAAGAGAGTATGACAGTTGA